GCCCATGGAGTGGTGGATCCAGGGCTGATGGTTGAGTAGGGAAGGGGCTGCTTTTAAAGTAGCACTTTAAAAGTGGCTGGGTGTGGGGGGGGGCACATGTCTCCACGTCTCCTAGATTTTTCAAAATCAGCTGAAGTTGGCTAACACTAATTCAAATGCAACCGCAGTATAATGCCCGAGGGAGAATTCACCCACTGCTTTGATTCTTCCCATATATAAAGTACATCCGCCAAACTGGTTGCTGAACAATTTTTGTATATATTCATGTGTATATACACATGCACACAAGTGAGGCAAAAAGCAAATCAGTTTGTGAATTCTCCTCCAGTCTTAAAAGACCTTTAGCCCTGTAATCCAAAAAAGCAGGCCCACACTTTCCATTTAATAAGTAATATATTTATCTTGGTTAAAATTATTCTTCATTTTAAATATTGTATTATTTCATGGGTTTTTTTGCACTACAAATAAAGATATGTGCAGTGTTCATAGAACGCATATTGTGTGGTCATCTGAAACATATGATCAGGAGTTATTTTGAAGGAAATCCTGTTTGTTTTATTCTTTTTTTAAAGGTCTATTTTAAGGAGCCTGAAACTGCTAATGTAATGAAGTTAGGCAAGTGGCAAGAAAGTTTGCACTGTTTTCCCCTTTTTGGGGTGTGTGTGTGTCTTAAGTAAATAGATTCCTTAGATTGAGCAAGGACAACAAGGACAAAGGCAAAATGGACTGCTAAATTGGCCACACCCACCCAATTCACATGACCACCTAGCCACGCCCACCCAGCTGCTCTGGCCCCCCAGCAGTGTGAGGGACTGTGAATTTGAATTTGAGGAACCCTGCTTTGTACTGTGATAGATTTAAATTGCCATATGCTCTCCTACAGCTCATTAATGCTCCTAAATCCTAGATTTCCCCAAAGGTGTTTTTTTTTTCCAAGAGGCAACTAGACTTTCTGGTTTTTTTTTTCTTTCTTTGAAGACTATTTGCTTCTCATCCAAGAAGCTTCTTCAGCTGACATGAGATTGCCCTTGAAGACCAGTTGGAACTTGCAGCTGATTCAGCAGTATCCCAGGTAGTTATAGATACTTTGAGATCTGTCCATGTGACAGTTCTACAGCAGGAGCTGCTTTGGATGCTGGCTACCTTGTGGGTGTCATTTCAGATGTTGACTATTACTTTTAAAACCCTACCTAACATGTGGCTTGGGCATCTCAGAGAAGTGCGGCTAAAGTAGAATCAGCCCATTTGATGAAAACAGAAAAAGAAAGTATATAAAGGGCCTTTGATACTGATGGAATCCTCTCAGTGATAAGGACTGCTTCTTCTCTGAAATCTATTAAAGATTTGTCTCTTCCATACGTTGGAGGAAGAGATGAAATGTTTAATTATTCCCAAAGCGTTGGTGCCTTTGCTGCTTTAGAGAAAAATATATGTTGCGAATATTTGCTGTTGCTCACGGTTTGAATGATTTTCATTTTAATGCTTATGTGAGGAGACTGTAAGCCACTCAAAGTTTTCTGATTTTTTGGCATAGAAACTTGAATGGACAAATAAACAAAACTGTGAATTCCATACAGTAGAAGATCTCAATAGCACACAAATACATGATTAATTAAAACATTATTTATTGATTTAAATCAATATCCAAGGTTTGCATACTGTGCTGCAAAATAGAAAGTAGATGTCCTCAGCCAACACACGGATATTTATATTTTATAGAAAGAAAATTGTGTCCAGCGCAAGATTGGCTACTTATCACTGTTATGATAGATAAACAGAACAGGTTTAATTTCCAAAATTATTAAATCTAAATCTCTATCTAGTACTTTATATTCTTTGCCAAATCTGTCTCCCATCTAAAAGCAACACTACAACTAAATTTCTGTTAGTAAGAGTTACATATACAAATACATTTTATTGATTCTTCTACAAAGTGAGCCACAAATTTCATTTAGATTTGCATTCTAGAAATCATACATGAGTTTCATGATATGAAATGAAGATAAATCATGGCTAACAAATTATACAATCTAGGTTATACGGTAGATGCAAGTGGCCTCTTTTATTGCATAAAGAAAAATAAACAGTTCTTTGGAAACAGTGACTGTTTTTTTTTAAAAAGCTACAGTTGGCAACCAGTTTCTTAGATAAATGATAGGCCTAAGGACAATAATTGTCCTGGTGGAAACCTCTTTGAAACAAGGAAAGGGGTGGGGCTATAGTAGGAACATTCTGATTGGTGAAGTAGGTGGGTTCTGCAAATGATTGACGGCAGTTTAAAACACAGATGTAAATGGCTTAACTGTCACAGCTGAATTGTTTCCTCAGGTACAACAGGATAAGATTAATAGAACAGAAAATTTTGTATAGGATTGTGATTAGTAGTTTGGAGACAAGATGTAATCTCCCCTTATGGACCTCTATTTGAAATTATATTGGGTATGTAGCCTTATATTTTCCTTTTGTGATGTAAGAAATATTCATCTTATGTCATGGATAAATAATAACAGCACTGTACAATAGTTTTGTATTAAAACTATTACTTCATACATAAAGGGTATATAGATTTGGAAGGGGGGGCTGGGATAAAAGATGTTATCTCTTATTTTAAGACATTTTGATATCTTGAGTAGAGTGCCTCTGAGAGTATCTAAAATTCAAATAATTTCTAATTTAGCTCCAAAACTGGATACATCTTTTCACTTTTGTTTTTTTAGGTGGACCATTAAGTCTCTAAAATTCTGGCAAATATGTTTTAATGGGATGCTACAGCTATAGTTAGAGATTGTAACTATCATATATGCTGCTGTTTTATTTTTAATTGATTTTATTGCATTGATTGAATTTTGAATGGATTGAAATCCAGCTTTACAGTATTATGCTACCTAGTGATTGGTGGAGCAGATTTGGCATCAATTCCATAAAAGGAAATCAAAGCTGTTGAAAATCAAAACAGGTTGGGAGTGACCAAAAACAGACACACATACAAAAAGCAAAAGGTTTCTGTTTATACAGTATATGATGATATCACATTAGTTATATGCAATTTGTGGAAAGAGCTCTGATCAATATTTTCTGCTGTGTAATGTAACCAGTGCCAAAGTAAGTCTCTCTCGGCAGTGAGAAATTGATGCACATTAAAGCAAATGCAATTTTTTTGATGGAAGTTTTAATAGATTTGTTGAAATACATTATCATATATTTTTTTCTCTATGTGAGTAATACAAAGCAAAAGAGACTGTAGGTGAGGTACAGATAAAAAGAAAAATTGGCAAATGATAAAATGGTTAGTGCTAATCAATAAACTCTCCTGCTTCATGGAGCTGGGGATTTACCTTTGGCAATGTTGATTTTACATATTTTTGAACTGTTTTATACATTATTTGATTAAAAAGGATCAAAATATAAAAAAGAATATTTTGATTTCTTACTTCAAATTCCTCTGGATTTTGATCATAAACCATTCTTAAACAGCACTTTAACTGTCAGGGCAACACTATTATGATATGTGAGGTAGAAAAGGAACACTTTTATTATGAATTGTAATATTTGACATTTGGGTGTGTAAAATCTGATTATAAATTTTGTCTCTAACCAAGGCTGGTGCTTGTCAGAGCTTGAAATCAATTTGATATATGATTATAGCTACAGAGATTTAGGAACTCTTTAGAGACTTACACACCTTGATGCTAATTAATGAAGAGAGGGAAAGAAGAAGTAGTGAAATTTTCATAAAGATGTGACCAGATAATTCACAATGATTTAAGCTGTTTAAAGGCTGCAATGTCCTTGAAGGCATCATTGTAGCACAACAATGCTCTCTGCTATGCTGGCACTAACTGTGATTCCAATTATTAAGCTAATCAGCGTAGATTAAATATTTTCATACTCCTGCAGAGGCCATCAGGCAAATGGGCTCTACTTTTTCTTCTTTCTTCTTCTTTATTTTAGAGCGCCTCAGAATATTTAATATTTCTGCAGAGGCACAAATTTTTTCAGCATTTCTGCTTGAGAATTATAACTCCTTGATTCATATGCCAATATTTTTTTTCCTAACTGCATTTTTAAAATTGTAATTATTTACTAGGGCATTAAATACTGTTTTTAACCAGTAAATGTGCATATGAATAAGTCACCCAGCAGCCAGTAGAATTTTAGATACTCTTTTGTGTCTGTGCCTCTGTGTATACACTCAGAGACATACTTTCTGATCTACTAAACCATTGAGAATATGCCACAGGTTTGTTCCTTCTACAACTACTACTGGTTAATGGTAATCCATATTTTACCTGATTTGGGCATAAAAGGGACATGTGAATAAGAGAGGAAGAAATATCTTGCACCATTTCAGCACATTCCCATAACCTTTTACCTTAGGATTATGAAATGCGCCAAATGTATAGTGTTGATTCATATCAGGAATTTAAGATTAAACATAATTTTACATTCTATTTTTTAACTCATATGTAACCTGGGGACTTAATACTTAAAACACAGAATAAAACCAGTATCATGCACTCATTCAGTTTTTATTTTCCATCAGTTGAACAAGCTTAATTATAGCTTTTGTATTGGACTGCTGATTAATAGTTGGAAAAAAAGATAAGTATTTCATATTAAATCTCTTGGAAAATTTTGTATGGCAGCAGTCCCCAACTTTTCTGGTTCCAGGGACCAGCAGGGCCGGCGGTGTGTATGTGTGTGTTTGTGTGTGTGTGTGTGAATGGTTTTGTATGCGCACTGCACAATCTAGTTCCCATGTGCATAATATGCTCACCTGCTGCTTGTGCAGCCCGATTCCCCACAGACCTCAGACTAGTACCTCAGGGTTGGGGACTCCTGTTGTATGGTATGATTCTGATTGGTGACAATTTTCTGCTATTTTACTTACAGAATTCTAGTGGTTACTGCAGTGGAAAATGGAAAGAGCGAAAGCAATCATAGCAAAAATCTTTTAATGTTTCCCATCTGTTTAATAACACAAACAATTTGCTACATTCATGGCACTCAGAAGGCATGTAAAAAACCTTGTGAAAAATTATTCTGAAGCTGAGATAAAAGTCAGAGAAGCAACTTCTAATGACCCTTGGGGTCCTTCTAGTTCTCTAATGTTAGAGATAAGTGACCTGACATACAACACAATTTCCCTTTCTGAGATTATGAACATGATCTGGCATAGGATGAATGACCATGGGAAGAACTGGAGGCATGTTTACAAGTCTCTTACACTCTTGGACTATCTCATCAAGAATGGATCGAAGAAAGTCATACAACATTGTCAAGAGAGTTTCTTTAACATTCAGATATTAAAAGATTTTCATCATCTAGATGAAGCGGGAAAAGATCAAGGTAAGATTAAAAGTACTTAAATATATCCATTAAAATTAAATGGATGTGTTTGTCGTTAGCATTGGGTAGCCAGATGTGAACTGCAAACTCCCGGAGAACCACTAGATGGCAGTAAAAAGATAGTGTTTTCTCTATCCTTTTGTTATCTAGTGGTATTCCTTGAAGGTAAAAGATAAGAGTGTAAACTAAGTTTGATGCCTAATAGTGAGAACAAACACCTAAGATTAGGTCAACAGCTAGTGTCAGCTAAGTACCAACTGGTAAAGTAGTGGAAGGAATTACACATTTTATATTTCTGGACTTAAAATTCCACACAGATGTTGACAACAATATAAAACAAAGATTTCTGTTAGGGGATAAAATCGAAGATAAATCTAAGCAAAATATTAAAAGTGTAGACATACTGCTAACAAAAGTATGTACTGTTAAGACTCTGCTCTTGCCCAGACAGTCTGAAAGATTAAATGAGGAAAAAAATATGTCTTTGAATTATAGTGTTGGAGAAAATGGTCGAGAATATACAGCAGGATAGCAGGAAGGTCAAATCATTTGGTACTAGTTAGTAAGATAAGACAGTTCACTGAAAGCATTAATAATGAAGTTAAGGCTGAAATATTTTTAATGCAAAAGCAAAAGTTCTTTGGAGAAGTGAAACCAATCATGACTAGGCTTTTCAAATTTGTGCAAAAGTATAATTGTCCTGCTATGATCCTTCTCTTTTCTCTTCCCACTGATCTGTCTTTGTGTGCAATATTATATCTTTCTCCTCACTACTTGCACCCCCAAATCTCATACATCATTCAAGAGATTATAGATAGTAAAAACTGGTTTAGTTTTTTTGCTGTTGTCATCATCACCTTACAAACTGCATATATGACATTGATTGGATTTATAAGGTTGGCAGGCAACAAGGCATACAGACTAATTAGGCAGCAAGTAAACTTAAAAGAAAGAATATTAATTTTTAATTAACAGCAAAACCAGTCAGATCTCTGTATTATATAGCAAACATTCTTAATTTTAGTTTTTAGTAATTAATTTTAATGATTTAGGTATGTCAATTATTTTTATTTATGTGGTTTACAAGAGAAAAAAATCCATATTGTAAAACAAAAGAACAACTCCTTTGTTTATTTATAACACTAAAGCCATGCACTGTATTGTTTTGTTTCCGGTTGACATAAATGACATAGTACCTTTTAAATAAATTATTGCATTGTCTTGCAAAATGCAATAGCTCTTTAGTTTCTGATTGTTAGACCTGATCTATAAATAATTATGTCAGGATACTTACTTAATAACTATTTCAATAAAAAAGCTTCATTTCTTATCACCAAATTTTAATTATGCTATGATATTCTGCTTTGGTTGGGTTACAAACTATAGTAGACCAATATTCACTAATTCATGCATGTGCATTTTACAGTGTTTATGATACCATGTAATATCATGTATAATGTTTAGGATACCGTGTAATAGATAGGAGAGATAAGACACTACTTATCTCCTGTCTACAAAACAATCTTTTTGGCAGTTCCAAGAAGATTCCACACCTATTTGTACTCTTATTGAGGTGACCTTGTGGGTATAGATAAACCTCCAAGTGGCCTCAGTAGTTTCAGAGAGTGTGCTAAAGATCAGTTGATTACAAAGAAATATGTTCCTTCCACCTCCCAATCCTGTCAGAACAAATCATTCCATTCCCCCCTCCCCATTATCTTGCCAGAACCAATTAAGGTTCATCAAACATCTTCAAATGTCTTCAAGGAAAAATAAAATTAAGAAAGTCCAGTTGCCTTTTGAAAAAACACCTTTGAGACACTAGTATATTACTTACAATACCAGAGAATAACATTTCAAGCTCTATTTGCATGACATTCCCTATTTCTGAAAATGGCAGTTTCTCATAACACTACTTCAGCTAAGGAATCATATAATCCTTGGTCTAGTTTAACAAATGCTTGTTAGAAAAAAAAACAGTTTTTATTAGAGGCAGGTATATGATTTGAAAAACAAGATAATTGCCCTAGGTATAAAGATCTTTATATTTCAGCATTTTCCAAATCCATAAAGTCCTAACAAATATAGTAATCATAGAAGGCATTAGTAAGCTTTACAAATTTATCAATATTTCCTTTTCAACAGGTTTCCATGTAAGAGAGAAAGCTAAGCAAATTCTTGCTATTTTAAAAGATGAACAACTGATGCATAATGAACGTGAAATTGCGCGCCGGACTAGACGGCGCATTTCACATGCAATGCTTTTCTCCCAGAAGCCTTCTAACAAAGCTACGCTTGGCTCAGATCCCATTTCAGAACTCCCTCCATCAGAAAATGTCCAATGTAAGCAGTAAATATTTACCTTGCTATCCATATTTTTGCATTTGAAAGTTTCAGCAACTTCAGTTTGATCAGAACCAGGTGTCTCTTAGCTAAGTCATCCAACCAACTATATAAAAGCATTCTAGGTTTTCACATTAAATTGAAAGTCCTCTATTTGGTTTAAAAAGCAGGATGTTAAGATGGACCTTTGGTTTCATCCAGAAACACTCTCCTTACATTTGTATCCTCTTTTGTGATGAATAAAATGGCTAAAATGATTTAATAGTTGGTATCTAATGGAAAAACACTTTCAAGTGTATCTTCTCTTCCTTAGAACAATAATAAAGCTCTGGCATCTATCTTTTCAATGTTTTCCCTTATATTGATCTTGTGCCAAATGGGTATGGCTTTAGGGGAATTATAACCAATGTACAGTCTGGAAAATCACTAAGGTGAATGAAACCTGAATAAATGAACGAACTGGCTAGGTGTATGAGATGAACACTTAAATCTGAATTATAGATTTTTTAATCAATTGGCACGAGTATATAAGATACTGATTCTTCTAATAAGAAATATATAGGTTTGCATAAATTGCTGGTAAGTTAGGAAATACTGCTAACATATCCCCACTAGTCCTTCTTTTCTCTAGACTAGCCAAACTCAACTCCTGCAACCATTCTTCATATGTTTTAGTTTCTAGGCCTTTAATCTTAATTGCTCTTCTTTGCACTTTTTCCAAAGTCTCAACATCTTTTTTGTAATGTGGTGACCAAAACCGGATGCAATATTCCAGGTGTTGCCTTACTAAAGTTTTTTAAAGCGATACTAATACTTCACGTGATTTGATTCTATGCCTCTGTTTTTTGGCTGCTGCTGCACACTACTAGTTCATATTTAAGTGATTGTTTACTAGGACTCCACTAGTTACTGTTTTTCAGCCAGGTTTCACCTAATATATACTTGTACCTTTAGTTTTCCTGCCAAGGTGTAAAACCTTGCTTTTATCCATATTAAATTTCATTTTGTTGGATAGGGCCCGTTTGTTGGATAGAGCTTGTCTTCTGGGGTGTTGACTATTCCTGCCAGCTTAGTGTTGAAAATAGCAACTAGTATTGAAAGGAGACAGTTACTTTAGTCTAATTATTGCTACATATTTCCATCCATTCTTGATTACAAAAAAGTCTGCCTCAGGGTTGTCTTTCAGAAGTTCTCCGAAGTCCTTTTCAGTAACTTTGATGTAAAATATTTATGTGCCATGCTGCAGTAATATTACTTTGTTTAAATAGTGTTTTGGAAATTTACTATAATTTGCATTACATTCTAATCTTAAGGAGAATGTTTAGAAAATAATGTACTGTCACCAGAAAAAATAGTCAGAATTTATAAAGGTGTTTCAAATTTATGTTGGAAATATAAACAAGAAGTAGGGTTATTTTATCATGCTTGGTAAATGTGTAAAGTGCTAGAAAATTTTGGACTCACTTTAGTGGCAGGGATGATACTGGACCTAATTTGCTGATTATTTTCAATATATTTTTCACCCCCCAAACTATAACTTTGTTATATTTATATTTATATTAATTTATTCTATTTGTTGGGGGTGGGGGAGGAAAAAAGAGATCAAAAGCAGAGTTAATGGTAAAGTTCAGCAGAGTTTATGGAAATTTCAATTCTGTCTCGGCATGTGAATTAGCTTAGCCACTGTTGGAAATACTAGGACAGCAACTCTTGTTTTTTTCGGAGGTCTAACTAACTTTGGAGAGGTTTTTCCTTTTTACTCACTCTCTCTGTCACACACTTACAATATATTTATTTTTTTGGCAGGTTTGCTGCCTAAGGCATTACCTGCAGCAGAGCAAAACCAGCAGACATGCAAAGCAGAAATAGCCCAAGAAGCAACAGTACTGAATATCATTGCAAAGAAGTCATCAGAGGTAATAATAGTATTATTGGGCTCTTCAATTTGATAAAGAATTCTTGAAATTTTCATAATTCTTGTGCGCAGGAATTTGTATGGGTATCTGCTTGAAGTAAATACTCTTTAAACCAGATATCTTTAAAAAAAAAAAGGTAAATGTGGACATTCTGGCAACATGTTTCTTTTCTTCATCTTCTCCGTCGTCCATGACAAAGGCCAACTGAAATTGTCCTTACCTCTATTAATATTAAAATAGTATTTTCCTCTTTATTCTTATATCATCTAAGGGCAGATAATGGCTGGGAAGTGGAGAAAGGACCAGCAATGGAAGCAGCAGATTTCACACCAATATAATGTTCTGCTAACTGAAGAATGATTGAATAAAATTTCATGAAAGCTAATTTGCTAGCAGCAGTTACATGAGCAGTAGATGGTCTCTTGGTCTCCAAGTAGCGGATCTTAGAAATAAAAATTGTAATCTGTGATTACTCTTATGCCTTGTTAATAGCTGTTTAGAGATATCTAGTAGTCATTGTTCAAAATCAAATATTGGACCTTTCTGTAATTGCTCAAACAATTGTTCTGAACAAATCATCCAACAATAACTTACTGTCTCCCATTGAATGAGTGCATGCATCCCAGATTAAGTCATATATTTTTTTAAACGTTTGTATTTCAGACTTATTAAATAAAGAAAATTACCTACATAAATAGAATTAATAAAATAATATGGCACAACATTTATCAAAACAAACCAAACAAAGAGGCTGAGCAAGCCAAGCAAATTGATCAAATTGCTTAAATGTTCTTTGGTCTTTTGTTGGAAAAAGTCCTCTATTGAGATATCAATTATATCAGAAATCTACAAAAGCAACTGGGAGTCAGATAAGGATGTATACTAGCTCTCATTTTGTTTAATTAATGATATGCAAAAGTCCTAGATAGAGAGATAGATAGACAGACAGATAGAAAAATGAACATGTAAAAACATTCTGCTTTTGCTGAATGATGCAATGCAATTCTGCAGAATTGATGTCATAGACCCAGGTTGGGGTGACTGCTGTACAGATTTAGTTCATATTGTGCACTCAACTACCTGAACATCAATAAGGTCAAGGCCAAGGTACTTGTTTTGAGAAGAACTGGACTAGGTATATTGCAGCCTGCACAAAGAACATAATGATCATGTTAAGATCTATCTATACTTAGAAATTGTTTCTGCAGAAGCAGATTCCTGGCTCCCATATTTTAAGAGAAGTTTTTAAAGGGCTCCAGCCTATGTCAACACCGTAAGACAACTGACTAACCATTGCTTCCCAGGTTCTCCAATTCCAATCAAAGGGGAAATACCACCAAAATAGTGATTATATATATCATGAAGAATTGTAGAGATATACAAATGCCCTTTTATTGGAACAGATATTTTGTTGAAATGCATCTTGGGGATGTGTGAATAAATCTATACCAACTCCAGCAGTAAGGGCAAAGTTGATTATATTCCATATACCAAGCCATCTAGTTATTAAAGAAGTTAATTGGATGAAGATCTTACTTATGGGTCCAGCTAGATTACCCAGGCTTTGTTCTATATAGCAGTTGCATAACATGCTCCTCATGCTCGGGCTGCCCAACTTTCAAATGTCATAATATGGATTTTATTTATTTATTTATTTATTTATTTATTTATTTATTTATTTATTTATTTATTTATTTATTTATTTATTTATTTTGTCAAGCATGTATAAGATATAACAGGTATAAGTATAAACATGGACATGGAAATGGGTATGAATATTTTTTTTACAAATAAATTTAATTTTTATTCGTAAATTTATTTACAAATAAATAAATTGGATTTTTCATCCAATTTAGTCAGATCTGAAGGCCAACAGATGCTTCAAACAACAAAGGATCATTAATGTGTCTGCTTAAGAAGAAATGGCTGGTTGAATACAAATAGGCTCCTTGGTTAAAAAAAGTATTTAACAACTTACATGCCTCAACTCTTTAGAAGAGCTTTTTCTAGAGCTTGTTTTGAGCTAGATTCTGTGGTGAGATATAGGAGGTTTCATGGAGTTCCATCTGAAGAAAGATTGCATAATTGTGGTACACTAGTGGTGCAACACATTGCACGTAGCCTCCTTAAATGCAGATTGTATTTTGCAAAAAGGTCTGCTTACCTTTCTTATTTAAAACCTAAAAATTGGGACACCCAGAAGAATTTGTCATACTTTTTGCGGGGTATGAACCTGCATATCACTAGTAAGACTGCACTCTCCATATCAAAGGCCATTTTGAAGAGGGCAGACCATATAGATCAAATTGGGGTTAACTGTAAGGACGACAACTTATTATGAATATGTACTATTTTCTTTATATTTACTTTATATATACAACGAATTAAATTCACTTTCATCATTAAATGCTCAAAGAAATGCTGGAGCATCTGTCAACATTCATTTATGTAAAAATATTGGATTTATTCTTTGAGCAGCTTCCTAGGAATTGTTAGACTGAATTAAACAAAAGAATCTGATCCACTGTACTTTAGACCCAATGGATTTGCTCCAATTTATAGAGTTATCAGATGGAGCACTAAGCCTATGAATTAGTGAAATGAAATAAGGAGTGCAATTATCTGACTGATTTATTAAATGGAATAGATCAGCACATAGTGGAAATTTATATCCTGCATCTATCTCTTTACTGCATACCACATACCACCACTGGGATAACTTTGGCTTTATTTTCCATATCCTTTCAAGTTTCTCCTTCAGACCCCAGTACTTCTCCAGCTTCTCATATTTCTTCTTCCTGGTGTTGCTGTTACAATCACTATCATGATGTCTGGCCTTCTGTGTGGATTTGGAAGTTCCATAGGAACTTAGCCCTGTTTTCCACAATCTTCTGTGGAATCTCCCATCTGCACTAACTCTTACACTATGCAGTTGTTACTATACATATAATTCCAGCTAGTTATTGTGCCACTGAATGTATGCTATTCCTGCCTGCATCTGACACCCTGCCACTATGGTGGTCTCTCTCTCTCTGCATAGTCTGTACCTTGGGTCCTATCTAATACTCTTGCTTCTACAGATCTGGTTCCTAGTGCCTGTTGTTGTGCTACTATGATCAGTGTCTCAGTGCTGGCTTTTAGTCCATCAGTGCTGGCTTTTAGACCATCCCTTTTCACCCAATGGTAGAATTTTCTAATGTCTGCTATCTCAGCTATCTGTCAATGTTATATCCCATGCAATGTCTTATCTTGCTATGGCACTTTCCCTGTTTGATCTTCCTCCCATGATTGCTAGCGTCTCAGATATTTTCTCAGCAGTTCATCTTTTGGTGCCATATTACTGATATATACTCTTGAATGCTCTAGGTTTTGTCCAGGATAGTGGCTTTGACACTCATCTGATCCCATCCTCCCTCTTTTCAGCTGGTGTATAGTTTCTATGTGTTGGACTTGGGATGGTAACCTCCAAGCATTATGAGGAGTTTTTGTTTCTTCACATCGGTATCTTCCAATAGGTGTGGATCATGTCTGGGCCAGGTGCTGTCCAGCTTTTCATATTCTTGACCCTCTGTTGGATGTCTGCTACTGTGATTGTGACTGATTCCCATTCTGGTAGATTGGTGTGGTCTGCTCTCAGGTCCTGCAGCCACTTTGCACTGATGGTTGTATGCCATCTCTTTCTTCCATATGTTTTTCCAGGACTGCTCCATTTTTATCCTTAGCCTGGTAGCCAGTGCTTTAGCAATCTCTAGGGCTTTCAATGGAGTTAGGCCTTTGCATGTTGTCAGTAGCTAAGTCTTATCCTTAATCTTCACATTTTTATGTAAATCATTCTTTTCCCCCAAGCTTAATCCCTGGTATTGCCATGGGTTGATGCCTTTGAACTGTGATGCTGGCGTAAATTACTTTGTTTACCGTGGTCAGTCAAAATAACTAACAGAAGGGTGTTATAAAACCAGACACATCACTGATTCACTTTGGCCATGTTATGCATGCAAATTTATTGGAGAAGGCAATGATGTTAGGAATGGTTAATGGATAAAGAAGAGGCAAGCAAAGAAGATGCTGGCTTGATAATAGCAATAGCAATAGCAGTTAGACTTATATACCACTTCAAAGGGCTTTCAGCCCTCTCTAAGTGGTTTACAGAGTCAGCATATCACCCCCACAGTTTGGGTCCTCATTTTACCCACCTCAGAAGGATGGAAGGCTGAGTCAACCCTGAGCCGGTGAGATTTGAACCGCTGAACTGCAGATGACAGTCAGCTGAAGTGGCTGCAGTACAGCACTCTAACCACTGCGCCACCTCGGCTCTCTCATTAAATCTGATGCAAAGTTGAACATATAACAATTGAAGGAAGCTGTGCTTGACAGGGTAGCATGGTGAGCACTTGCCTATAAAGTAGCCAAAAGTCGGACAAAACTAAATAATTAAAAACAAAACAAAATTGCCATGTGGAGGAAACAAACATTCGGTCCGAAACCATGAGAAGCTGCTATAAACAAACACTTTATTATCACGTATCAGTATTGATGCTGAGTTGGACAGACAAATGGTCTGTCTCAGTTCTACTTCTCAACAATTTCTTGTTGAATGGTGTTGCTGCTTTGGGAAGAAGCTTAAAATGGAAAGGTACTCTACAGTACCACTATACTCCTGTGAAATGTCTCTTTGTATCAAGATTAGTAATATTTGCCCCAATCCAACTACAGAGATTATTCTGTATGAGAATACATGGAGATTTCATACAAGTTGTGTTGTTATGTAAAATTTTAACAACAAAAAACAATAACACATTAGTGGAAAACTGAAAACAGCTGATCTTTATAGTTGCAGAAATTAACATTAACAAAATTTGCCAATAGTACCAATGTTGAGACAAGCTATTTAAATTAATTGTGTTTTAATTAATATAATATTGATTTCAATCCTATGCAATATTTTCTCATTTCCTCCTCCTTCACTTTTCATAGTTAATCATATTTATCACTTATGTGAG